TTATTTATGTCGACTGTATGTTTGTTGTGTAGCACCTTATCAGCACAGCAAATTCTTCATATGTGTAAAACACTACTTGACAATAAAGCTCCTTCTGATTCAGATGTTTCTACCTGTTATAATGTTGAGAGACATGTTTCTGGATTTTAAAAATATGATCTGTAGCCTTTAGTGCCAAAAGCTGGCCTGCTAGAGGTCACAGCTTAAACAGTGGACAGATGAGGCAGCTGTCCAACAGGTCATATTTAATAGACGTCGCTCGGCGGAAAGGACATCTCATTTTGTTAAACGCCTGTTTCCTCAACTTCTCGCTTCTCCGATCTTAAATTACAGTTTGACAAACAAATCAAATTAGGAGATAATGCTGTTATGTTTCATAATTTATTGCCTATTAAATACAGGACCTGAGGTCATTTGCGGTTGAAACATTAAATCCACATGGAATGTGGATGCGACAAAGGTAGATTGGCTTTTCCTGTGTGTGCATAATTTGATGTCTTCATCAGGCTATACCAATGAGCATGACTAGTTAAATGCAGACTGCTCATACACCGTTAGCTTGAATATTTACGCAGGAGGAGTTTTTAAGCATGATATACTGTGTGTAGGTATTTATTATGCAGCACACCTGGACACACCACCGCTCACTGAACAGATCTCTGGCTCACTGCCACAAACAACTGTCTCCACCTGCTGGCATGTAAAGCTGTCTGCTCCCAGCACTGTTCCAAAGACTTCTATTCCTGTCATCATCACGCATAGACCAGTAAACCGAAATGTGCACATCCCACACAGAAATAATAGTAATCTCTTAAGGATTAGGACAACTGCACCAACTCCAGCACCCAGAACAAACTCATTTAAAATGGCCCTCTTCAATGTGAGATCACTTTCAAGTAAGACTTTTATCTTAAATGATTTTATCTTGTCTGCGAATCTAGATTTTATGTTTTTAACTGAATCCTGGTTGCAGATGAATGACTATAGCCGGCTAGCTGAACTGTGTCCGCCTCAATATGATTGTTTTAGTCAACCGAGGGTCAGTGGTCTTTCAAACAACATGTCAAAGGGCAAACACATAACCGTGGTCATAAACTGGACTTGGTTTTTACCCTGGGTGTCAGCATTTCCTCTGTGGAATTGGTGGACATGACCATATCTGACCACAGATGTATTGTTTTTAGCTGTGATTCTCCTGTTACTCATGCTGCCTCACCAAGCTCCGTGTGTTCTGGCATCTTTAATGAACAAAGTGTTTCAAAGTTTTGCGCATTCTTTCAGAGCCAAAGCCAACACCTGTCTGATTCCAACACCAACAATCTAGTCGATCACTTCAATCATATCTGCTTGTCGTCACTAAATATTAGCCTGGATAAATGACAGCATTCGCAGCCTAAAAAGGGAATGCAGGAAAGCAGAGCCAAGTCCATTACCACAGTCTGAAGGATTTATTAATTAACTACAATAACATGGTTAGGGATGCGAGAACACACTATTTTTCTGAACTCATTACTACACATAAACACAATCCCAGGTTTCTGTTTAAGACTGTGGATCAGCTGGTAAACCCAACCCCTCCTTGTGCCTCAGCTGGAAGTAATGATGACTGTGAATTGTTTTTATCTTATTTTACCAATAAGGTGGTGTCAATCAGAGCCTCTATTACCCCCGCGGCCTCTTACTCAGAGGTTCCTCACCAGCAACAAGAGAGTTTTAACCAGTTTTATCCCATCGACTTGTCCGAGCTTTTAAAAACAGTATCACAAATGAGTGTGTCCTCCAGCCCACTTGATGTAATACCTACAAAATTTTTACTGAAAGTAATAGATACTGTTGGGCCCCATTTGATCTCTGTTTTCAACAGCTCCCTATCTACTGGTTGTGTCCCTGATTATTTTAAAACGGCTTGCGTGAACCCACTTTTAAAGAAACCTGGTTTAGATCCCTCCCTCCCACATAATTTTAGACCAATTTCAAAACTGCCTTTTATTGCAAAGATTCTAGAAAGAATTGTGTCCAAACAGCTGCTCATTGTACTGGAAAATAACAAATTATTTGAAAAGTTTCAGTCTGGTTTTAGGAAGTACCACAGCATTGAGACTGCCCTGCTTAAAGTCACCAATGACCTTTTAATGTCTGCTGATGAAGGTATGTGCTCAGTCCTGGTACTCCTGGACCTTAGCGCTGCTTTTGACACCATTGATCACAACATCATGTTAGACATACTAAGGCACTGGGTGGGGATCTCTGGTACTGCCCTAGAATGGTTTTCATCCTACCTGTCAAATAGGAAGTTTTGTGTGTCTGTAAACAACTATGTCTCCTCATTCTGTCCAGTTAAATATGGTGTGCCTCAGGGGTCGGTCTTAGGACCCATTTTGTTTTCCTTGTATCTGCTTCCCCTTGGACATATTATCCATAAACATGGCATTTCTTTTCATATTTATGCTGATGACACACAAATATACTTGCCCGTCAGATCCACAGACCCTGGAATGCTCACTTAACAACTGCCTTTGTGAAGTTAAAAAATGGATGTCAAATAATTTCCTCCAGCTGAACTCAGACAAAACAGAAATCCTGGTCATCGGGTCTCAGCAGATGGCAAATCAAATACTGCCATCTGCTGGTTCCCTAGTAAATCACATTAAGCCTGTAGCAAAGAACCTTGGTGTTTGGTTTGATAGTAATTTAAATTTCGAGTAGCACACCACAAAGCTTGTTCAATCATGTTTTTATCAAATTTAGACTTGGTTGAAGATAGGCTACTAGAAGCCGTTTTGTCCCTCATCCAAGAGACTTCTTCAGTTCTGACTGACTGACAGGGAAACTCAGCAATTTAACCACTGTGGGATTGTTAGTTAGGATCGTGGATACTGCTGGTTCGTTCGTGCTCCTGGCTGTGGTAACGACAGTCGTCATGGTCAGGACTACCCATGGCCAAGACTGAACGACCATCGTTAGTATCTTCACCTGAGGCCAAGAGGAAATGCTTGTTAAGTTTCTTGGGAAGTGATGAAAGGACAGCATTGTAAGTGCGGGATAAGTGGTGGTGAGACCCCCTACTCCGTTCAGCGACGGCTTCTCAACCCGGGTGAAAATGGCTTCCTTGACACCTCTTTCAAACCATCCATCTTCTCTGTCTATCCTTCAGATGTAAGTCTTGACCTGAGGAGTTAGCCCTTCTGTGTTGAGCCATGCGTTTGGTGCCCGACATCTTTAAATAAAATTAAATACGACATCTTCCTCCCATCCACAGCCGCTGTACAAGTAGCGGGCACTGGATTTATAAACCTGCTGCTGCGTTGGTTTGACTGATGGGAGAGCTACATTTTACTCGTTTGCGTACCGGGACTTTTTCTTGTGTACCAGCACTTCTCCCAAGCTATTCTTCTCTGCGCTCTCCATATCGGGTTCTCTGGGCACTTCGCGACGCTCACCTGTTCCTGTTCTCCCCTGACTGCTATTTTCTGTCAGCAGAGACAGTTTGGGTGCCTCTCATCCAGCCACATGCAGGAAGTAGCTCATCAAAGTCACTTTTCGTGAAGAGACTAAACTTTTGAAATGTTAAGCTCGTTGTTCTGTATGGACGGTTTTTATTATTGAAAAGTTAGTACTTTGTACACAAACAAATCACAGAGACTAACCACCATGTGTATTTATCTTGCACAATTACTGAATGACGGACAAACAACGCACAAAAACACAACTGTTTTGTCCAACTGGAATTATTATTATACCATCTGTAAGCTATATTGTAGCCTATTCTATGATCTGAACTTAAAATGAATACACTAACATTAGCCCTAATGAAATCTTAACCACAGTGGTGTTTTGGTGTTTCACGAGTAAAAAACGGTTTTACTCGTGAAACATTTGTTGTTGAATTGTTGAATCTCTCAACTAATAGCCTAACAATCTTTAAAGTGCAACCTGTATATTATACTAACATTACAATATATAATTTAATTTTATAATATTTAGTAATACACTAGATACATGACGGTTAGCAGCTTATAACATAAACATGCCGAGACAGATGAAACAAATGAAACAGCACCAGAACTTCCAGTATGTGCATTTGTTTAATCCCAATTCAATTAAAGTGTGACTGTGAACTAAAATCAAACAGTACATTGTAGTTTATGTGAAAAATTGTGTTGCAGGTTGATTGGTGCGCCCCTAAATTTTCTGTAATGTAGGCCTACTGGAGTAGAAGTAGAAATTTGTATGAAAATAAAACACTCAAGTATAGTACAAGTATCTTTACGTTTTAAGTATCAGAGAGTTGATGTATCAAGAGTTGTGACACAGACTTAGAAGCCCACATAGGTCTGTGTGTTCTCTGTCATGTTATATCTGTAAAACAACACTGCAGAAATAAACACTGCTCATCCCCTGCATGTAGCGCAGATGGAAAGTAATATTACTTTCCCAGTAACTAAGCAGTGTAACGGATTACTTTCCCAAAAAAGTAATATTATTACAGTAATGCTGCATTATTGCATTACTGAACACACCATCCTTGACGTGAATGCGTGACTGTATGGCAGCTCAGCGGCAACTGGGCTTATATTGTTCATCAGCTGTTAGCCAAAAACTAAAGGAATAATGCGGGAGAGAGGCTGTATGTAGATACTGCCAAATCTTGTGTCACAGCGTAAGATGCAAAGAACATTGTTGTCCGTGATAAATGCTGTGCGACCAGCTTTAAACCTAATTTATTGAAGCATCTGCTAAAGTAGCACAGCAACGTGAAACCAGCTGCTGCACTCGTCGGGAGAGAGTGGCGTGCAACGTAACGTTTTTAAAAATACTGAATAATAGGCTACTGCTCTTATAAATACATATGCCAGTTCAAAAGTAGGGATTTACTTTATTACATTTTATTAACATTAGGCTATAGGCTATGTTTTGTAAAAATCACACTCCTTGCTGCTGTTATGAAGGGAGTGTAAAATAGGTTAAGTACTTGTGACCTCTTTTTTGGATCAACTCACCATCTTTATTTCCTCCAAGCTTCTCCTCCTCCTCCTCTTCATCGTCCATGTCTCCGGTGCGGCAGCGGTAGCCCTTCTTCTTCAGCAGGTGGCAGATGAGGAAGCCGAACAGTCCGGTAAGGAAGAAGAGGAAGACTACCACAAAGATCATGTACGGCGGGGGATGCTCCCCCACGCCTGGGACTTCTAATTCAGTCATATCATTAATTCTACCTGAGTTTTGGAGAGAGACAGAGATTAGATTTAACAATTTCCAAGTACCTTCAGCATTTTGAGTTTCAACTCAAATGAGGTAAGACAGTTTTAGTTAGTCCTCATTCCTTTTAGATGCTTTTAAGGGCTACAACTTGGATTTAGGGCTAAGGTTAGATTTAGGTTTAGGTAAATAAAATAATGAGACACTAATCTGTTCAATGGATGTATAAACTGGGACACTGAAGTGGAAAAAATACGTCTCATATTTTTGACTACGTATTACAGACACAATTACTGAGAAATAAAGAAAATGATAATTGTTTCATGGTTTCCAATGAATGATAAGGGAAATTGAAGCTGCTAGCAGCTTTGAGCAGCTTTGAGCATGTAGATCAGTGGTTCTCAACCTTTTTTGGGCCAGCGGACCCCTATCCATTATCTAGGTCCCTTACCGCCCCCATCAAAAAAGATGTTTGCTATTTGCCCTGAATATTGTTGATTTTTTTTTATTGTTACTATTGTTATTAAAAACATGGAAAAGGTAACAAAAAAGCCATGTGAAAAGTACTTATATTTAACTAATAAGTGGATTTTCCTCCCAGAAACTGGGTGTGAAGCCAGATACTGTTTTCTTGGATGGGGCACTTAATAAGTGGGGGGTATGGGGGTCCTCCCCCAGAAGATTTTGAGTATTAAACACTTGATTTCCTGCATTCTGGTGAAAGTTTCTCCTCTAATTTCTGCCTTTTCTGCACCAATGTCTGTCTGTGGAAATGTCTAAAAATTCAGGTGGCAGGTGACAATTCAAAATATATTACAATAGAATATAATGTAGTGAGGCTCTCAGGCATTCTTATTGCTTTTAAATATTTTTCTCCTGTAGATCAACTTATTTAATATCATCCCTGCTGAGTCAACACACATGATTAAGTCTTACCTCCTCTTTTGTGGGGAAGTAACCTTTTTAAATGTGTTTGTGGCCTCTTTTCATCTCAGTAATAAATTAATCCGTTTTAATTCAGTTATTGACTGGACTTTATTAGTTCATCTGTTAATAACTTATCATAACTCAGTGTTTCCCACAGAATGATAGTGTAACTTTGGCGTGGATACAGCATGATAGCCTTCACAACCCAGCTGTATTCTTAGCTAGGCTCCTTACATGCTTGCTAATAACTTTTAATAGCTGGGTCTCCGACATTGACGGCGTTGTGTTAGACAGATTTGTGCACCTGTGTTAACGAGGGAGAGAGAGCGAGGGACGGATGAGAGAGACGAGCGAGAGGATTTGCTGCGTGAATATGCGCTGCCTGCAGCTCAAATACGATTTTATATAGGCCTAGTAAAAAAAATCGAAGATCAATGTGTAGCACTGATATTGTGGCAGGCCGCCACAAATAAATGAACGTACGGGAAACACTGTAACTTATCTGCTCATGTTCAAACCTTGCTGTGATCAGACAGAAAGCTCATGAATAATTCCACACGTTAACTTCAGCACCTCTGATAAAGTGCCGCTTACAATCCCCAACAGAGCAAGACAGGGCTTCAGTTTTTAACGTTACATTTTTATAGCCTACTGAAACTACAGTATATGTCCGCTTTGGCACAAACTGTCTGCGACTCACAGCGCGAGGCGGGTCCACGTCACTCGCTGGTGTCGCAGCGAAGTTGCTTTCAGGGTGAGTCCGACAGCAGAATATCCCTCTTATAAATGTGTAACCACTGCAACAACAAGATGTTCACGGTGTATTCCTCAGAGAAAGAAACACTTTTCCACCAAGAAACAGAGCGTCAATTTTCCAGAGTTTACACAGTAAAATTGTGGATAAAACTTTACAGATGATACTCTGACTTCCCATTCCCATGAAGGCAGCACGAAGCTGCACCACAAGTAGCTGATGGAGAAGAAATTCAGTCTCGTCCAGTCGCAGTGGGCTAAACTGGCAGGTTTTAATGTGGCAGACCACAGTTTTTTGCAAGTAGTTTAAAGTTTAAACTGTTATTGTTGTGAATCTTAAGCGTAAACTCGCCTTAGAATTTCCAACCAACAAACCCCCCCCAAAATATTGCCTCCAGCGCCCCCCATCGTCCTCGGAACACCCCTGGGGGGCGGTACCGCCCCCGTTGAGAAACACTAATGTAGAGTAAAGTTGAAATGACTTCCTGTTTCATGGCAAAGCATGGAACTTTACCGCCACGCCATGGATGCTTTACAACATGGCATCATCAGTGGGTTTTCTGAGATAGTTTTGAATTAGATTTAGCCAACCTGCAAGAAGTTGTTCATCACTGCGTAAATAGTCACTTTCTGCTGCCAACATTTGGCGCTATGACTATGGGTAAAAATTAGGTAGTAGATGTGTTCAGAGCGGGACGCTTATCAAACATGTAAAGTTTGATGCATATGTGAGCATTGTTGAAGTTACAACAACTTCCTGTTTCGTGGCTAATCCTCAATTTTGGATGCCACGCCACGGGCACACCTTTCCACGAAAACTCACCGTTTGTACAATTTTAATCGTCAGTGGGTTTAGAGTAGACAGCGAAAATCTGAAATCGGTCGGACTGAATCTCTAGGAGGAGTTCGTTAAAATACAGAGTGTGTAAATCATTCAAAAATGACCATAATATTCAAAATGGCCAACTTTCTGTTGGGTTTAGGGTATCACTAGGGCTTTTTGGTACGTCTGGATATGATGCATGTGCCACAGAAATTTCGTATATGTAGGTGTTGCCAGAAGGTGGCGCTATGACTATATGTGAATGTTAGCATGTAGATGTGTTCAGGGTGTGACTCTTATTAAAAGTGTTACATTTTGTACAGATCTGAGCATATACACTGATGTTACAACAACTTCCTGTGTCATGGGAGAGTTTTGAAGTTGATATAGCCAACTAGGAGTAGCTCATAGCGTAAAACGTGACCTCGTTGCCAGCAGTTGGCGCTATGACTTTGAGTGAATGTTGGGTTGCGGTTGAAAAGTTTTCCACAGTGTTGTCCACCTTTAGATGGCTTGCATTAAAACAACACGGGGCGCAGTGTCAAAGCTTTTTGTAGACCATCTTCAGACGCATAATTACATTGCCTAGAGAAGGGTTAGGGTTAACCATGGGTTTAGACTGCACAGCGAAAGATTTGGAGTCAATCGGACTAATTCCTGAGGCAGAGGTTAAGGTATGAAGTCTGTAAATCGCTCAAAATGATCATCTAATCCAAAATGGCCGACTTCCTGTTGGGTGTTTTGCCACGCCCATGAGCTGGAGAGTCCAAAATGGGGGAAGCCATTGTAGCTCATTAGATTTGTTGTAACATTTATTATTTTTTATTTTCAAAGGAAGGGTGCACATTAATTAACATTTCTGCTAGCATCAATGAAAATGTGCCAGATTTAGCCTAAAGGCTATTTTTTCATCTGTAGTCCCTGGTCAGTACATGTCAATTAAAAAAAGACAACAACATAATCATTAAACAATAAGAGAAATTTTAGGATACAGTATACTACAATACAAAAGACAAACATTATGTTTTACAGACCAGGTCAAGAACTGTAAATCAATTATGAGTTGACAGTAATTTATTGTAGAGTGTAAGCTGCTGTGCTTATGCCTTGTCATTAAAGTGCAGTTTTACTCAGTAAAGTGCTGTTCAAACATTAAAATGCCATTACATGCAATCAAGTCTAATTTAAAGTATTAAAGTTCTTAATTAGTGCATTAAAGTGCTGTGCCTTGTGCGGGACCACACTACAGGGTGACACTCCAACTGTATGATCCATCAACAAGGGGCCCCACTGACTTGCAGAGTAATGGCCGGTCAATGCACTTTGAAGCCAGAAATTTGTTTATAAATATATTTGTTTATTTATTTTGTCACACATACCTGAATTAGCCAATTAGCTTATATTACTGAATGGCTTTATTTGTTGGTATTTAATTTAGGTTAGGTTGAAAGGCAGTATTAGCTTTGTAGTAGTTACATTAAAGTAGAATATGATATATGGTGAATTTTGATAGCTGAAATTAATGTTATAAATATTTATTTTATATATTTAGCTTGTTTATTGTTGTTATAATGCATGCCTTGCAAAAGACTTTTCATGAATATTCAGTTTTAGGTTTAAGTTGTTTGGGGGTGTTGTTTACATAATATACACAAACTATTATATATATATATATATATATAAAAGAAACCTAAAAACTTTGCATCACCAGATACTAATTACATGTTAATATATTAAGACTGCCATTCCTGAACACACATCTGCAGACATCTAAACCATTTTCAGCTCTAATTTCTTTTCATTTTTTACATACTTTTTCTTTTTCTTTTTTGGCAATAATAATCTATACTTATATAGCCTATTATCCCTAATCTTATTTTGAAGTACTAAGACCTTTTTTAATATGGCATTTGTCTAACTTTTCCCAAGCTATAATCTCTCCTACAATTTTGAATTGCAAAATACAATGACCTTGTAACATCTTTTTTATGCTGATAACTGGCAAATAAATAGTTCTTACCATTTTCCTGCACGTTAACTGTGGACACATCCATGTGAAAGTCAGCATGGTCAATGTAAAGTGTGCCAACGAAACATGGGAAAAAGCTGTTGAGATTTGGTTGATAAACAATGTAAAAATGTGCACGTTGGATAAAGAAGCGTGTTCGTGGACAGCGTGTACCCCTCCTTTATAGTAGAGGTTCCCTTTAGCTCCACCTTTTCTGTCTATCTACAGAGAAAGAAGGAGGACAGTGACAGTGTATGAGAAGGAAAAGAGAAAACGAGGGAACCTCGTCATCATTGTTGTTGAAAAAACACATGTAAACATGCAGGAGTCTAAAAAATGACCTTAGTTTACACCTATAATACATTCTGTACATAATACATGATATTGATTATATGTATATACACATGCACACACACACACATTGTAGACTATGAGTTAACATGCAGCAGCTTATCAGTGTTGCCCTCCCGGTGGCTTATCAGCATCCATTAACGCCCCTCACACACACTCAAACTCACACAGACATACACACACTTAAGAGCACTTGTACCCTCTGAAACATCTTAGGGTGGTTTATCATTGATAATACATGTCATTAGCATTCACCACTAAACATCTACAAAACAACTCGTTTTTACTTCACAGTCTTTGTGAATTCAAATAAACATTTGGTGATACTTCACAGTGTAAATCAGTCAGGATTTAGAGTGCACAGAGACAGCGCTGGTGAAAATTACTTATGACCTCCTAATGCATCAGACTTGTCTCTACACTGGTTTTATTAGATCTCAGCGCTGCATTTGATAGTCTCCGAAGTAGAATGGGAGCCAGAGCGTTCAGCTATCAAGCTCCTCTCCTGTGGAACCAGGTTCCAGTTTGGGTTCAGGAGGCAGACACCATCTCCACATTTAAGAGTAGGCTTAAGCATGGTGTTACAGCTGCATCGCGGTTGCCAGAGCTAATTGTGGCCATTCTAGTTAATGCTTGTGAGTTCACCAGATGCGGCCACAGCGCATCCGAGAAGCCTCCCAGACCGGCTCTCCGCACTGCAGAGAATAGGTAGTCAGTCCAGTTTCTGACGGAAGCCACGTCAAGCAGCATAAAGCCAAACCAGGCAGGAAGTGAGACGCAGCATAAAGAATGCGGTAAATTTTCAAAATACAATTGTAAAACATCAATGAACACGGTTATCATCACAGAGTACGGTCTAGACCTGCTCTTTTATGAAAAGCGCTGTGAGATAACTGTTGTTGTGATTTGGCGCTATATAAATAAAATTGAATTGAAATTGAATTGAATTAGAACAGACAAAAAATTTTTTAACAACGTAGCCTACTTAATCATAGCAGAAGCACAAAAACCAAGCACTCATTACCAAATCAACAAAATCTAAACATGTGAGCAAAATCAGGCTGGCAAAAACGCTCAGATTCTGAAATGCTCCCTGTGGGATATGCAGCCATGCAGACGTCAAGAGCACAAAAGCACAAAAAGAATAAATTAACAAGTCAATAATGTGGGGTACCGCTTTGCTACTGAAACACTTCTGAGAAGCTTCCAGTGGATGTTGACACTGGGCTGAGGATGGAACAAAACTGTGGTGCAGTCCTAACAGACGCTGAATCAATAGCGCTCTTTCTCTCCTTCAACTATGGTGCGTTCCATTGGACATGGGAATTTCCGAGTTCAAAGTTCAAAATTTCAAAGGGAACAGCCCCTTAAATTGGATTTCCGACTTGGGAAGTCGTGATCCAAGATGGCTGTCGGGGTATCAACAGTTGGTGAAAGCTGTATTTTATACTGTTTATTAGCACTTCTGTGTACTTGTGACTCATAGAAATGTTCGTACACAAAGTGCTGTCCAACAGCTGTCTGTGGACGTGTTGCTACGGTGTTTAATGTGAGTAAATACCGCATAATAATGAACCGGCGAATCAATAGCTAACCTGGCCATTTGTAAACAATTGCTGGCCGAGCAATGTTGTCCGACTTGTTAACTGGAACGCCATTAACTTGGGTGTGACGTCATTTCCAGCTCCGACCTTCAACTTCCGAGGTAAATGGAACGCAGCAGCAGTCGAGGCAGATCGCCACCCACCCTGAGCCATGGTTCTTCGCAGGATAAGTTGGACAACTGTCAGTTTCTCTCTGACTCCTCCCCTCCTGTGGAGCCTGAAGCAGCTTGTCTGACCCACCGTTAATTTTCTCATTCATGCTGTCAATATATAAGCACTTACGTCTTTAGAAACATCAAAATACTGGGTAGATATGCTATTAGTTTTTTACCCAAACATGATCTTGAATGTGCTTTTATGATCAATCTGTCATCAATGTATGGACAGAGAGTTATCTCCAGACATTGTGGATTTATCCTTAGCACAGAATAAAATCTATAGGCTACACTGTCCTTTATAATAACACTGTGGACACAAGGAAGCTGTCAGGTTACCAACAGTTGCACTGAAACACTTATCGTTGGCTACATTCCAGCACTTAATCATTTATTAATGAAATCCAAGTCTGGTAAATGTTAAGTTATAGATCCACTCCTATTTTTTAAGATAAATGTCATGGTCCGCGTTGGCACCCATCCCTTTTCTGTTGTGCCACCTGATTAAAATGGAGGCTCTGCTCTTTATCTACCCGTTGCCATTGTGAATCATAGTATCGGAGCTCCATAATGGGATTTTCTTAATGAATGATAAAGTGCTGGAAAAAATAGGTTACAGGTCTATTTATTATGCTGTAACCTGACAGAACAAAATAGGCTAAACATACATCAATAACACATTGATCATAAAAGCGGTCATGTCAGAGATCATGATTAGGTAAAAAAAAATCTAAATCTTTTTGCGTTCCAATCCAAAAAATCCACTTCGCGTTTTCCTGCACACTTACTCAAAACAATCTCAAAAACACAAATTAGGTGCAGTTCATTCCATAAACAGCAAGAAAAAATAAAGCGGGTTCAGTTCCTCAGGCACAAAACAAAACAAAAAACGTTTTACTAAAGAAAATAGTTTAACTCTCAGAGTCAAGACAGTCAGTCCAGTCAGCCAAATAATCCAATCCGGGTATTTCTGTGTGGATATTGTGCTTGCTGCTAAACAACTGGTGACACAAATAATTATAGCAACATTTCTATGCATGACTTTTGCCTTACATGATGCATCATCAGCAATATATAATATAATATTTGCTGTGGGAAGGCTTGCAGTCCCATCCTCAAGTGAAGACTTGTCCACATTCCAAAACAGGCGAAATTTGTCCAAAGGACCCAAATGTCCATGGTCATGATCACAAGACACACACACAATGGAAATCTACAGTCTTATACAAAGGTAACTAATTTAACACCAGACAGCATCTGAAAATGTTTCAACCTGTCAAGTCAGCACAAAGTTCTTAAAAAGGCATCTCAATATTTTCATTAAATCACATGGCACTGCCTTCAATTGGGCTCATGCTAAATTCATTCATTGTCATCTCCTACTGTATTTTTTCTTATTTACTTACTTTTAGCAGTTGTTTGCAACTGGCTAGGTGCTGTGTGTTTTGATTGAAGACTTCGGGTAACATGCGAAACATTTCTTAAGTTCAGAGCACTCACCTTATCATTATACACATTGAATCAAATAAAGCCGAATTCACAAGTTGACTACAGCCATTCCTAAAATATCTAGTTTTATTCTATTCTGGTAAGTAAACCTACCGACAAGTCAGAAAACATTCAGGTGCAAAAGTTTCCAATGGAGATTGGCGTGTCATTTTTACTGCAGGATACAGAACGTGTGTATCAGGTCTACAGAATAGCCTAAATATAGTTACGCTGATTGGCTGCAACATCCTCCCCACCCAGCGAATAAAACCTAAACTACGCCGTCATCGTGTGCAGGCACATTGTGATCTAACGTTACCAAAGGAAAGCCAAAGTCATTTCACTGAGCCGACATTAATCGCATTGTGACCGTCTGCATCCTGAAGGTGCGTTAAATCGTCAGAATACTCGTCCTCATGCACTACAAAACAGACATAACTAAGATACTCACCTTCAGTCCGGCAGGAATATGTCTCCAGTGTTCCTGCTGGTGAGATGTTGTCCCATGGCTGCAACGTGCTCCGTGTCCTCTGGCCGGAGTAGGACGATGCGGCTGTCTGCTGAGGAGGGCAGAATGACAGGGAGGCTCTGTTTTTTTACGCCATAGGCTACTGCTATGAGGGACCAAAAATGACATATCTATAAATGACTAAATAAATGCAGAAATAAATAGTTAAATGGAGAAATAAATTAAAATGAAATGCATTTTTGTAATAAAAAAGGATATTTCTGTATTTATTTATGCATTTCTACGTGCATTTATTTCTTTATTTCTACATTTATTATATATTTATTTCTACATTTATTTATATATTTATTTCTACATTTATTTATTTATTTCTGTATTTTCACATTTATTCATTTCTGTATTTCCACATTTATTTTTCCCTGTGCCTGGGTGGTGCCAACATCAGCCTGAAGCAGGATTGGTTAGCTGACAGAAGCAAGTGATTCATCTACGTGACACAAGCCAGCTACACAGTAGATTCCTTTAGTCAAACATATTCAGTGTCAAAGTACATGGATTCTTCTATGGTTATTACAACAACAGCTAGAGTAAGATTCTTCCACTGTTGGTGTAGTGTTTTGTATTTAAAAGACTTGATGAAAGAATTACTCCGGAAAGCCCCATCCAACTCCTTCTCTGGGATTTCAACCTTCAACCAACAGGAATTTTTTTACTGCGCCATTTTCCTTGTCGAAAGTCTGTGGTAAGTGTCTCCAAATTACTTACTAAATCGTTGTTTTGCATTTCAATAGAAGCCACATTGTAGAACAACTTAATATTGATGTCCACCTACACTGCAGCTGGCTGTATGTCTTAAAACACAGAATTCCGAAGGGCGAACGTGACAGAGTTGATGGCTAACGTTAGCTCCAATGTGCCATTAAATACATGAGCAAAGCCCTTAAAGGCAAAAGTACTGTGAAGTCCAGTTGGTAAATATTCATTACTAAATGTGCAATAAAACCTTTACATGTAAAAAGCCTGCTAAACAATCTTTCTAATTTTTGAGAGAAAAAAGCATTTAATGCAACACAGCAGGAGGACCTTAACGTAACTTAATGCCTTTAGCTTTGCTAACTAGGGATAGGGATCAAGACCCGGTTCTATAAGATCAGGTTCCAAGTTTCTCAAAACCCGAAAATTCAGAAGCATAACATTAAATACAGCTAAAGTTTTCCAATCTAGCTTGTGCTTTAATGCAGACCTCATGTCTGAGAGTGTCATTTAAAACTGATTTAACTTGAAACGTGATGTTACGCCCGGCCTAAGGGAAACCTGAGAGCAACATGATGTCTCCTCTCTTTTCCCCACTCCCCAGAAATCATCAAAGTACCACTGAATATTCAGTCTGTTAATACATGGATTTATTTACAGCTGGAAAAGCGCTGTGAGATAACTGTTGTTGTGATTTGGCGCTATATAAATAAAATTGAATTGAATTGAACTGGAATAGAAAAACCCAGACATCAGGGAGAGCTAGGCCAAAATAACAAACAAAACCGGTTAACATGTGATGAATAAGAAAACTAATGTTATGTTATGTTGTTCCCGGGGCTACAGTGTTACTGTTCAGGCTACAGCCTCTACCTGCTCTGTGCCGGCTCCTGCACACACACACAGTGGCCAGCGGAGGGCGAGGCCGCGGTGTACACCGTGTTAGGAAGGGAGCTCTAAACTACACCAGTTTACCACTGCTACGCTCGTTAGTCTAAGTATGTGCAATAAAACCTTTGTGACTAAAATGATATTACTTCATCAATCCACCTGTGTGCAGTGTAAACATGTAGAAAGTGTTATTTTACTCTGCTCCGTTCTCTGTCATCCTCTGTGTGTTATACAAGCACAGCTAACGTTAGCTTGGCAATTAGCTAAATGTTACAAACAAGCTAAATTGAAATCAGTATGTCTGTAACTTTAGTCTGACTGTTTAGCTTAGTTTGCACTGTAGCTTAAAATGTGGCACACCACTGTAAACTCAGCTAGTGGCTGAGACGAACCAGCTGCTCTTTTCTACCAGGTAAGGTTACCTGCTGGCAGTAGCGTTAAATAACTGCAGAGAGAGGAGGAGGAGGACAGAAGGAAAGACTGAAACAGCCTGATATCTTCATTCTTTGTAAACATCACTCAGTACTGTGGTGTCAGATATTGGCTTTATATTGACTTTGCTGTTGTTAACATTCATTT